AAAAAAAAAAAAGTGTATTTGTTTTATAGGCATTATATGTATAATATACGTTGGTATATCTTTGGACAATAGCTACTATCTGAAATGGCATTTTAAATAGATGATTATCATGTGGTACAGCTGTGAAATGTTTAAGCTGGGTGAACAAGACAGGGAATTTTTGTCTATTTTCATGATTGGTTAGGATCTTGTATTTTGATCCTTATCCTTGTGTTTTGAAGTATTTTGCTTTTAGTAATTCATTTTGCACAGATGTAAGTACTGTATTTCACCAACTTTTGAGTTGTTTTTAAACTAATCTTACGCTAAGGTGCGGTGATGCCGCTGTTTTTGAAAACGCAAGGGTTTAGTGTGAATTGAGGTGAGTGCCCGTTGCCTTCTGCTCATTTACCAAAGGGCGAGTGCAAGAGAAGCTCTCCTCACCTCAGAGCAAGAACTGGATTTACACCACCACGTAAAAATACTATTGTGCTCAGCATATTAAAGTCTTAGTTACTAAATAGGGTGGCAGCGGCTCACCTTCATTCTTGTGGATAACAAGCTGGGTATTTTGAAGCTCCACCCTGTGTCTTTTGGCAAGGACTGACATAATATTCCTCCTTTCACAATACAGACATTGACTTTGTTATTGATGGGTTTAAATTTCGGTTTGGTCAAACACTTTTTATTCTAAGCTACCTGCAGTTGAAAGGAGATACTTTAAGATGACTTCTTTTTAATTAAAGAACTTTGGTTTTGTTTTTTAGAAAACATAAGTCCAGAGGAAGAATATAAAATTGCTTGCCTTCTCATGGTCTTCGTGGCAGTCTCCTTGCCGACTTTGGCTAGCAATGTGATGTCTCAGTATAGCCCCGCCATTGAAGGTAATGTAAAGTCACCTAAATATTTGCTGTGAATGCTTTCTTCATAATAGTCCTGGTAGTTCCTTGAATACTTTTGCTTTAAACATTTATTTACTTTTTTCTAGTGGACAAAATTTAAAAATCAGTTAGTCCTAATCCAGGAAAGTTCTTCTGAAAGTTAGTTACTTTAAAAAGCATTTACTTAACTCTTGTTCGAGATAATTTTCTATGAAAAATGAATCTTCTACTTGAGATTTTCATAACAGCTCAGATACTGTAGGGGGCAATCTTGTCCTAGTATGTGGAATTGTTAGAGCATACATTTACATTAATTAGTGAAAGACTTATCTAATAGTATAGATGTTTTAGTAATCTTTACATTGGCTTTGGGCCACACATACAAGGTGTCTTTTCTATATTTAACACGCTGTTTATGTTACCAAGCATAAAATTTTGAAAACAGAATCTGGAAGGTGTAAGCTGTGAACAGAATTATATCCTACGCAGTAGCTGAACTTATTTAAAAAAAAAAAAATCTTTGCCTCAAGGAAATTCTTTGCATGTAATCCACCAAAAAAAAGTTCCTTTCAGACAAAATTAAGTTGAAAAAAAAAAAAAGACTGACAAAACTGTTCCAATACACACAAAAGTCACCTTTCAGCTGTTCAAGCTATTCCCTTTGTGAAGTGTAGCATGGCTCATATAAAAGACCGTGTTTATTCTGCATCCATTTACTGGTCCGTTTACTGGTTACACTGCGGTTTTTGTGTTTTGGTTTTTTTTAAAGTTGCATTATTTTTAACCCGGTCAAAAATTAACTCACAAAGAATGTCTAAACTGACTTCTGAAAAATTAAAGTCCTAGGAAAAGACCAAAGATTCTGAAAGTCTTCTATGTCATTTAGTGTAGCATGCAGATCACATCTTTTTAAGAGACTTAAGATTGTTGTTTTAAATTGGGTTAATTAACGTTTTCTTCAGTTTTGAGAGATTAGGGATTTGTTAACTCTAGTTTCATTCTAAACTAATAGTGTAGCCTTTTGCCAATTGTGAAAAAGTTGGATAAATCTCTGATGCAATGAGTAGAACTTGAACATGGATTTGAAAAGTTATGAATTTTAATGTTAACAGCTTTTTCTGATGACTAGGGAGAACAATCTGTAACCTGCAGAGTTGTTTCATGTTATCTGCTCTCATAGCATTTCTACAGCTTTTTGCAAGCTTTTTCAAAGTCATGATGGCTGAATGAAAATCTCAGAATATAGGCAAGAGCAGGGAATATCCAAGGTGATTGGTGAGGGGCATGGGTAGAAACTTGTTTGTTAAAGGACAATCAGGATGGTGCTCTTAACTCAGTCCAAATGAACTTGCTTGTGTGTGCTTAAGACCACATCTCTTAAATATTACTTGTTTATAGTTTTGTAAAAGAAACCCTCTGGAAGAACTTTCTGGTACCATTTTCTCCTTCGAAAGCATCTTACCTACTGTAGAGTCTCAAAACTCGTACTGTTTGCCAGGGGGACAGTACTAAAAGTTTTTAACGGTGATTATATTTTCACATTCACCCCTCTGCACGTTTATTTCTGAGAACATGAGTGAGGCTAGCTAGAGGTTCTCCACGTTAGATCTCCTGCAGGTTTGCCTTTCTAGAACTCTCCTCTCTTCCAAAGACCCTCTTAAGTCCTTAGGTACTCAGCAAGCTGAAGCAACAGATAATTCTTATCTTCTGCCTGTTCTATATCATGTAGCTTAAATATTCCAGTTTCTGTGAATTCATTTACGTTCAGTAACCCTTAAAGTGAAGCCAGGCAAAGCCTTGTTTCAAAGTGGGTTCTTAAAGTAAGTACAGTTAATCTCTTAAAACTGTGACTGGAGAGAAATTACATCTAGAACTCAAATAAGCCCGTATTAGGAGTTGCTACGGATTTTATGAGATGTGGCCTCTGTATTATGTAATTCTTTACTGAGTGGGCTCTTTTTTATTGAGAGGAAGAGAGTCTGGCAAAACGAATACATAAAATGTGTTCACTCTACAAAAATAACTGAACAAACAGAATAGACTTTGTCAATCCTTGTATAATATTACTTTTTCTTGTGTTCTGTCCTTATTGTAGAACATCTGGCTTTAGACGCTTAATATAGATACTATTTCCAGAATAAGAACTTAATAAATACTATTTTTTTATGAAGTAAATTCCTTGGACAAATCCTGAATTTATCCGTCAACAAGTAACAGATTTGAAGGAGTTTCAGCTTTCTAATCTGGCAAGACATACCTGCCAAATACAGACAGTTCTTGGACAGCTGTAGCAATGTCTGCATTCTCTCTGCCCACTGCAAGATCAAGCCTGTTCCTTCCACTAGCTCCAGATAAAGGCTCAGACTCTCACAGGCCTTTACTTTTGTTCCCAGCAAGAAATCTGAACTGCTAGTCAAATATCAGGCTAGAGGACTGATTTATTGTCTAGAGGCTAGAATAGAAGACTAGTCTGCAAGAGACGTTGAAATAGTTGAAAGCCGTCATAGGCTGGAAGATAATTGCTTAGTTGAATTCCCTTGCTGATGCTTTCTCGAGTCTCTGAGACATAAAAATGAAGTCACTTCAAAAACAAGTATAAACTTAAATCAGCAGAATTAAGCAGAACAGCTGTTCTTGACTGGTGTTCAAGAAAAGTGGTGATTTTTTTTTTTTTGGACAAGCATATTCATGCAACAATATCTAATTAAAAAAAAAAAGAGGTGGAGGATCAGCTCTGGGGGGGCCTGCTGGTGGAGATCCACAGGGATCTTTGCTGGGACCTACTAGTCAGTATATTCATAGACCACCCAGATGGAGGAGTGAAGAGTGAGGTGAGAAAATGTTCAGATCATGCAAAGTTATTGGGGGTATCAGAGGAGTAAAGAACTCCAGATAGGTATCATGACACTGAGTAAATTGGGCAATAAAGTGACAGAGAAAATTCATTTTAAGTAAGAAATGAGGGGAAAGTAATTTTTCTCGTGTGAAGTGATGGGGTCTAGCTGACCTCATTATTCAGGCATGATCTTGGAGTTATGATAAATGACTGAAAAAATTACCTCAGTGCTCAGCAATGGGCAAAAAGAATCAGTAAGAATCTGCAGTGTTTGCGTGCTTGAATGCTTGCCAACGCCTTCAAAGACCACCTCCTTTTCGTATGCTAGCGCTTTCCCAGAGTATTTCCCCACGTGTCTATTAATTTTAAAGTGGTCCATTTGAGTTAATTTGCCTAGAAGAGATATCAGGCTTACTGAGCAGCAGTTCTTCTGCTCTCTTTGCAGACTGGTGTCGTTTAATCACCTTCCAGGCCCCTGAAGCCTAGGTGAATTTCAGGCAAGATGTTATGTACAGCAATTACTTGTTCTTGAGTTCCTGTAGATGTCTCGGGTGAATGTTGTCTGGGCGTGATGACTTGTTTGTTTACTCAGAGAAGAGAAAAACAGCCAAATAGCTTGAAAAAAATCCTGCTTGCGCGTGTCTTTTTAGCCTGGTCAAGTGGGAATATTCTCGAGTTTTGTAGAAACCAAATAAACTTCCAGTATATTCTTTTTCCTTATTTCCAAAAGCCACAGGGATCTTTGTCGGGTTGTTGTGACCATTACAGCATTCGGAAGGGACATCTGTACTTCTGGTGGCTTCCCTGATACCTAGTTCAGTGGGAAAGATTGCTTTGCTCCCCTTGTGTAAGATGCTAAAAGTTGATCTTTTATTGTGACAAGTCTGTTTACTCTTTGGTGATACTTTCCAAAGAATACTGTCATTTTCAAAGATGATGCTGAGGTAATTTGTATGTTTTTATTTAGGGCATTGCAACAACATTCATTGCTTGGCAAAAGCTATCAACCAGATTGCTGCAGCTTTATTTACCATCCACAAGGGAAGCATTGAAGACCGTCTTAAAGAATTTTTGGCCGTATGTATAACTTCATTTCTAGAGTCTTTTAGCCTCTAAAAAGAGGGGAACTCTCACCCCCTAATGCCCCTCAATCCGTTTGATATACAGTGTATCTTGTGCAGTGCTGTCATGAAATTATCAATGTGTTTGTCATTGCATTACCTTTTGCGGTGCCAATCAGCCATGAGTAATCTTAATCATGAGGGCATACTATAGAGATTTAGATCAGTATGGATGAGTATTGATTAACCAAGACTTATTCCAATAGCAATATTGCTTCATAATGCTTGTAATGTTACTTACTTTCCTGTAGCTATAGATTGCAGAGACACTAAAGTTATTGTATAATACAGTGTTGATTTTGATTAGGAGAAAATCAGGTGTGGGTTAGTTACTTTTTGAAGTCTAGCAATATGTTAAAATTCATGTCTTTAACAAGAAAAATATTGATTGACCTCAGGAAGTATTTTCAAATTCAGGTGGAAAATGTAATCTTAATTTGGGATGCAATGCAATTGATTCCGTATAAATCTGGTTTTGGTGCCGAGAGAGAAAAGCATATTGTTAATACAAGTCTATATGTAGATCAAAATTAGTAGTAGTCCTTTAGCAATAGTCAGCTCTGTGTGACGTTGGAAAGTAACAGTAGTAAATCAGTACACATGTTGTAATTGTTTTTTCAGTATAATCCTTAGTATTTTAGCACATACCCATGACTGGAAAAAGAAATGTGCAATGTATATAAAGCCAAGAATCTGTCTAGCGGACTTTTCCCATGATGTGTTGGACTCCTTAGTTTATCTTTTCAAAGGAGGTAACTCCAGAGTGGCTTTCGAGTTGTACCTTTTGACATGCCTGTCTTTCTTAAACAGTAACTGCCTGATAGTGCTGTGCTGCAGAGATGTTTGGGAAGAGGAAGTTTTATGCTGCAGAGTAGGTTGAAGATCAAAGCTTCTCGAATCCTTAGTGATGCTTAGAAAAAAATCAAAAGCCCTTAGGTGGTGGTGATGCATTTGAAATACATTTTTGTTGGGCTGCTTGAGTAGAAATAGAATTTTTAAAGTGGCTCTTAATTAGCCAATATTTGAAGGGAAACTAAAGGCTAAAACGGCAGCTTTAATTTCTAAAAATTAGTACCGGTTTTGAGTGATTCTTGATTTTTGCTGTTTGGCCTTGAAACGTGAAAAAATATATCCCCCTTCCCCCTTCTTTTAGGTGCCTTACACACTTATGGGGGTGGGATAATGGGAACTTTCCGCAACTGGAAATCCACAGAAACAATTTTTATTTTTTTTTCCTTAAAAGGATCTTTCACTTCTGGAAGTTCATCGCATTTTGTAAAACAGAAAAAAACCTTTGGCCGTTGACCTTGTCTAATGCAACTGCTGGCTGTAAAAGATGAAAGAGAAATGGTTGTGTCAAGTTGCATACACTTGACAAGTGAAGGAAACCAGTATGGTTTCATGTGATAAAACCACTTTTGGTATGAGGGTTGCATTTTTTCAGTGTTTATGAACTGGTTTCAGACCATTGCTGTTACTGCACAGACCATGACTTGATGGTTCGGATATTTTGTTAATCTTTTCTTCTCTAACACCTTTTATATATCACTTAGTTTTAGCCCGAAAGAAAAACATTTCTCTTAAGAAGAAAATGTACTGCTGGGGATGATCTGCTTTCCGGTCAAAGTTAGTTAAATACGGAAAAAACTTACTAGGTTGTTTAATACTGATGAGTATGTGCTAAAATTATTTTGAAGTATGCACATTCATTTTATATTACAAATTGATTAATGATGGAATTTGTTCAGGAGGAATCTTGATTTAGATTTTAAAGCTAACATTTTAAGTTAAAATCTGTCTCTGGTAAACGTGCGTTATGCACATTGTTATTGCTTGGTGTGAGGGCGTAAGTGATGACTGTACATCTGAAAGTTGAAAAGAGGTGTTGTTTTTCAAACTTCTGTAAGGCATGACAACATGGGTTATCACTGCATCTGCAAATTAAGTATTTTACTGTGTTCTGTCATCCTGAGCTTGTAAAAACCTAAGTATGTGTTACAAGTTTCCTAGGGTACCTTTTAAAACTTGTGGGGTTGCTCGTGGTATGATAAAATACTATTCATTTGCATTTAGGATGACACTTTTGCAATTAAAAATATGGTTTAGGAAGTAAAACTTAATTTGTCCTTCTATTGCAAAATGGGTATAATTTCAAACAATAAAAACTCCAATCGCTTTCAATCTTACCAAAATACATTAAGTTTATATGTGTTTTGGGAAGGACAGAGAAAGTAAGATCTTGAGCCCAGGGAAGTTCTGTCGTCATTTTCAGTAGATTTTATAATGGTCAACCAATAATTACAGCCAAAAGTTCTTTGCAATAAATTAATTTACTTTTTGTATTAAAACAGCACATACTGCTTATAAAACACTACTAGAAATAACCACAAATGGCTCACTGAGACTAAAGCCCAGCGATGGTTCGTGTGTTCCGGATTACTGGCTTTCCTGTGTCGTTCTGAGTGCACCGCAGTGTCTGTTGCCTTGGGATATTGATTCCTTCAGAAGGGTTTTGTGTGCGTGTACAACAAAATAGAAGTCGATCGATGCATTGTTTTATTTATTGCTTTGAAATATTCATTTTTATGTAGCTTGCATCATCTAGTCTACTGAAGATTGGCCAGGAGACGGACAAAACTACTACAAGGAACAGAGAATCTGTTTACCTACTACTAGACATGGTAAGCTTTTGTCTATTTTATGTGTCACTAACTTAAGGAATAGGCTTCACGTTGCGTCATTCAACGAGGGGGTTTTGGGTGACGCCTTGTGTGTTGTAGCTCATCAACCAGTGGAAATAATTTTTGTCATCCTTCCTGGCATTCTAATGTCAGAAATTAATTATTTTCATTCCCCAAAGACATACGTGCATTTTGTACCATTGTCCTTCGTTGCCTAGAACATTGTATCACTTTGTTCAGATCACTTTCATTGATCATTTAGTATGTGCCATATTAAAATGGAATTTCACTTTAAAGCAGCACTGTTCAGAGTGTGCGTGTGAGGAAACCCCTCTGCTCAGAGGGGTTTTTTCAGTATTCTGTATCTTTTGGAAGCAGTAGGACTGCTATATGGCTATATATAGGAAAGCTAAATAACTGGCTTTGAGAAGCGGTGAGTTTAAACGTGTTTCTCCCCAATGTTTAAACTTGGCATTACTTCTTTTTGTTATGAAATCTGTGAGTGTGGTGGTGGTGCAGACCAGAAGTATCTCCACAGAATAGATTAGCAGCAGCGGGCAGTAGGTGGTGTTCTGCAAAACCTTGTGTTTCTGGTATTTTTCAGATTGTGCAGGAGTCTCCATTCCTGACGATGGATCTCTTGGAGTCTTGTTTCCCTTACGTCTTGCTGAGAAATGCATACCATGCTGTCTACAAACAAAGTGTCACATCCTCTGCCTAAGTATCTACTTACTGGAGATAAGACATAGCACGCATCTATGTGGCCTCAGTTTTATCTGTAAACTGTGGAGCTCTTTTACTTTATGGCCTGATGAACAGTTTTGTGGATTCTAAACTTTTTCCATAAAGTTGTATTTCTGATCAGTGGTTTCTTAATATGGTTGTACTACAATATAAGCTTGGTTGATTTTAGGTTGCACATTCATGGAAAAATCTTTTTTTCTCATTTCTTCCTTTTTTTTTAATTTTATTTTTTACTTTAGAGCATCAGTTATGTTTAAAAATTACTACTTCTGCTATATGTTTTTTGATATTGATCATGCAAAACAAAAATTGCTTGTTTATTTCCCAGAAGAAAAAAATGTATTTAGTGATTATTTTAGATAGTGTAGCTTTCATCTGTGTGTAAATTATTTCATATAGGGAGAGTTATAATCTTGTACCTATTGTTCTTATTGAAAACAAATATTGGATGTGCATTTCTGTGAAGTAATTACAGCATTTCTAGTTTTATTTTGAAACATTCACCGATCTACATACTATGACACTATCTAACATTAAAAATGTTATAGGACTGCTTATCCTTCAGACAGCGATCCTCTCCCGATACTCTTAAACAACAGCAAGTGGTGTTGTTTGTATAAAGCATAGTGGAAATTTTTTTTAAACTAACTTCTGTGGTGCCCTGTTGGCATTAACACTACCATTGTACCCTGCTGTATAATAAACATTCTTACACATTTATCACATGTTGATAAAATGTTAGCCCTTAACCACTTTTTATATGTTTTAAATTTTTGAAATTCAAGTGTACCTTCCATAACATACAATAAACACTAGACTGTATTATCTGTAGGTGAATTATTTTTAATATAAATGTTATCCTAGTATTTTAAGCTTAAACTGTGCTGTTGTGCATTGATTTACATCTCACAGTTCATTAAATATCAATCCTTAGAGCTTTTATGTGAAGACTTCTTTTAATCCTTCACCTTTTGGCTTCTGCGATAGTGAATCTTGTAAAAAGTTGGAAGAAGGAATTAAAAACAATGTAAAAAGTGTCAGTTCAGTGCCATTATCCTTTAAATCTTAATTTTACGTAATTCAACCAGAAAAGCGTTTATGTAGTACGTAGCAATGCCAGTTGTACCCATAGAAATAAGCATGTTGTTAAAGTATAAAACTCGAAATAATCATAAAACAGGAGAGTGTTGCTAAAACCGTAACATCAGACATTACTGAGACAGATATATAATAGGCCTTTTTTTATCAGTCGTGCAAATTGGCGTGCAGGATAGCGTTGGCTCATTTAGCCTGAAAGCTGACCAGATGGTTGTGCTCTTTAATCCACAGCGTATAAAAGCTATGTGTTTCTTAACAGGCTCTGGACATTGTATAGAGCCCCTGTTCTCGATGCAACTTATGTGCACGCTGGTAACTTTTTCTATTATGAAAGAGCTGTTGTGTGCTCAGTTACAATAGCTTCCTCTGTCCAGAGGAAGAAAGTACTGGAATAAAATTGTCCTAAGGAAGTAAGACAGTACATCTATATTTTTCCTCATTAGGCATTTTACGTTATAACCATGGAACTGGTTTTAAGTGGATAATTTAGTACCGTAACGGTTAAGTTTGTTCATAAAGAAGTTAGGGCAATTGTGAGACTTAAGAGTTCTGTTCTGTAATATTTGTAATCAAATACGTTCAAATGGCTTGATTTTAATGAAGGTTTTGATTGTAAAGTAGCCTTTTCTGGAAGAACAATGCCTATTTTCAAGACTGACTCTTGAAACACTCAAGTTTAAGAAATAACCTATGTTGTGTCTTTAATCTTTTTAAGTACGAAGCAATCATATTTGGCAGTTCACCTCGGATCCCTGTCAGCTTTCCGCTGTCTGAGGTGTTACTGCAGTAAGCCTAGAAAATGGGTGATCTCTGACAAACAGCTAACGAGTGCATTATCTCTGCAAGAAGCTACTTCCGATGCAGCGGGATTAGATTTAGTCACGAACCTTTCAGATTCAGCAGTTTGAGTCTGACATGATTGTGCCGTGCTGTTTGGCGCCCAAATGCCTGAGCTGGTGCCTTCCTAACCACCCTTCCTGCCAGAACTCAGAGCAACCTCAGAACCAAACCAAACAACGGGGAAATCGGGCAGGAATTACGCGGACTCGTCCATGTATTGATTGGATTTTGGAGTGGGTTGTTTTGGGTGGGAGTGGGAGGGTGTCCTTGCTTTGTTCTTTGTTGTATTTCTATTACTTCTGGTTTCAGCTGAGCTATCACAAAGCTCTGTAGGGTTCAGCCTGCTTGTGGAAGGCAGAGCACATCAAGCGTGGTCCTCAAGGCAACCTGTGCCCGTGTACGACGCAAACCGTAAGTATAAGCCTGTCGAAGAGTTTGGCGGGGAAGAAGGTAGAGAAGGAATTCCTCCTCTGGAGCTGGCAACACCCATGTCCACAACTTAGTAAGCTCAACTGTTAACGTTGTATGTTGAGTCATCTCAAGTGGCGCTTTGTGAGTGTCTGGAAGCGTTTGTCATTCCTGGAGGATGAAGCGCAGACGGCTGAGCTGGTCCCATATGGAGCCAGCTTGGAGGAAATACCTAATCCGCGGAGGAGGGCTCTGCCTCGTGAGAGGGAGAAAGCATGGAAGAAAAATGTCCTGTTGCTGCCCAGAAAACTATTGTTTTGGGGTTTTTTAATTTAAAAATTGTCTCCATCAGGACAAAAGATTACCATTGAGAATAATGGCTACTGTTAAACCTTTTTTTTGCTGTAGCAGTTTGTTTTCTAGATAGGAAAAGAAGTTGGAAACCAAACTGTGACACTTGGAGCATACTAGTTTTGATGCACTGGAGAATGGCATTCACCCCAGGAAATGCTGAAATGGGGCCGGTGATTTGAGGAAAGATACGAGCCGCCTTCAGCAGGTCATTGTGGGCTTGTGTGACTTCAGAGCTTACTCATTCCAGATTCAAGAATGCTCGATCATAAGTAAATAAGCCTTGCCTCGAAACTGGTTTTTTGCCAAAAGTTTCCCTGATCCTGGGATTCAGCATTGTGGTTCATATTAAAGAGCGAACGCTCAGTTACTTACCAGTAACTATTATAAATTCTGTAAGAACGGGTAAGTCTGAACTAATGCTGTAACTTTTAGGTGAATCGCTCCGTCAAGCTGAACCAAACATAAAGCTAGGTTCTAAGTGTAGCCAATCATCCTGTTGAATCAATAAAAGAGGTTGTTACACGTAGGCTTTAAATTGTTTTTGCATTCAAATTCAAGGATCTTTTAACTCTGTAATACATTTTGGATACTGTAGAGGTAATTTATTGTAGTTGCATTCACTACAAAACTGGGCTGATAAATGAAGGACAAATACAGGGGAAACTGCTTTCATTTCAATCCTCGTGGCTCGCCCTGAAACGCCGACACGGCTGGCTGTGCAAAGCAAGGCAATTTAAATGACAGCTACGCACATTTGATTTAGTTTCGTGGATGAGGTTGTCACATAACCAGTTTTCAAAAATACTAAAGTTCTGTCCATGAGTACAATTTTTGAAGCATTTTTATGATAAAGGTAAATCTTCCCCTGAAATGGCAGAAGTTGTTTTGTTTACTTGAATTGACCGCTGTGCTTTTGCTATTTGTCATGTTGTAAAGTCTGTAAATATTTGTACTAACAACATCAAACTGGCCCCCTGACCCATGTCCAAAACCTTATCTAATTTGCTATTAGTCATGCTGTTTCTAGTACTACTAGGTCAAAACGACCTGCTCGCTGGATAGAGCGTCAGCGTGTCTTTCGCAATTCAGTAACAGAAAATGTTGGTACTGGAATCAAAAGCGTAAGTTGAGCTTAGCGTAAAGCGAGGGGCTTTGCATCGTTTCTTGTGTAGCCTGTCAGGCCCTTGCCTCGTTCGTGATAATAGTAATCTTTAAAAAGTGCCTGCTCACAAATAACGAATACCCGCACCCGCCTGGGTACGGATGCGAGCTGCAGAGCTATTACAGCTGAACGTTTCAGCCCCCGACGCTAGGAAATCCAGTGCGTTGGCCATGAACACCGTGATTTCACGTCTTGTCGGTACTCCGGGTTGCAGCCGGAAGGTGGGGAAGGCGTGATGGCCCGTTACCTGCAAGGTCTTCTGCTCTTGCCCTCCCTGCCCTTGTCCTTAGCCTTTGAGGTTGGCTAAACTCGAGGTAAACTCGATGGGCAGCCAGCACAGAGAACAGAAGACTCGCGTTTGGCGAGAGCAGTATTATTTGAGGTTGGCTAAACTCGAGGTAAACTCGACGGGCAGCCAGCACAGAGAACAGAAGACTTGCGTTTGGCGAGAGCGGTATTCTCTCTGAATACGAATTAAATGATGATCTGTTTAATAACAGCAGGGACACGATAGCAACAGTGAAATCATTCCTTGCATAGGCACGCAAAGGAAAGAGAAGTAAAACTAAGAATGCACTTGTAAATTAATCTTATGCTAATGGTGATGATACAAAAGAGGAGTGAAAAGAAAAGTGAGGTAAGAGGAGTTGAAAGCGGTGATCGCAGAGCGCTCAGCAAAGTGGGAAAGACGTTCCTCAGGTACTCTGAGGCCGTTTTGTAACTGAGTTCTTATTTGACACTTCAGGGATTAAATTTAGATCGTATTTCGCACACTTCAGAACTGCATTTAAAAATCCATCCGAGGTGTCACCTGTTTTCCACTCTGTATGTGAAGCAAACTCGTCCAGCTGCGGCATCACGTGTAAATAAAGGATGCTGCAAAGCGTAAAACTCGGAGGCATCCCGGCGCAAGCGGAGTCAGCAGGACCGAATGGGAATGTCTCGGTGCCTGGTACAGCGAAACACCGGAGACAGTCTGTGCTGTTGGATTTGGTTCCATTCCTGTCTTTGAAGTGGAAGATGTCAGGAATGATGGTTCGTGTTACAATGAGATCAGGTAAGTGAAAGAGTTCATCTCGGCCGTTCATTGTTTTGGGTGACAAAGCACTTCAAAGGGCCGAAAAGCAGCTGAGAGAATGGGGTGAGCCTGTGACAGTTGCTTTAGAGGTAACTCTACTGGGGAGATGAACTGCACCGCTCGTTTCCTAACAATTCTTGTTCCAATGCCAAGAAAAAACGTGAACTTTTATCTAGTAAAAGCTCAGAGGGAAACCATAGCAACAAGACGGTAACCTGCATTTGAACGTTATGGTATAATACCGCGTGTTTGCCGGCTAATCCGTGGTGGCACGGGCGCCGGTTGCAAGTGGTCGCAGTCATTTGCGAAGGGGCGTGCGGCATCAGAGTTCCATTGGGTTTAAACTTGTCTCTTCAGCTGGTGGGACCGGGCATCATCCTGTGGGTTTTGTTGGCCGAGCTGACCCTGAGCGTAGTTGCAGTAGGTATCGGATGCCTTTCCGGAAGGATCCTGGAGCATTTCAAACGCACGTCACCTTGGAGCTTCTCGAAATCCCAGTTACTGGTAGAAGAGCCGAGCAGCAAAACAAGCGAAGTTGCGTATCAGTGTTGTAATTTTGCAGGTAGGTGATGGGGACGGAGAACAGCGAGCAAGGATGCGGCCTCTGGCACAGCATTGAGGTGCCTGGACCTCAACTTCTGGGTCTACGTGCTGTTAAGCGCTCGGTGACCCTCGTGGGAAGGGGGAGAATGAAATTAAAGGCAGCGGTAGCTACCGAGGACCATTTTAAACCCCCAACATCATGTTGTTTGAATCAAGTGGGACGGGGCCGTGCGGTGCGGGTCGCTTGCAGAAGCATCGGAGCTGAGGCGCAAAGCAGGCGAAACCCCTGCGGTCGCCTTCCTAAGGAGAGCTGCCGATACAAAAATCCTGGGCTGTGGGAAAATGGCTTTTTCTAAACTCGTGTTCTAATGATTCCAGCACAGCGAACGGAGCACGGGCTCGTCGGGTATTTAATTAGTCCTTAGTCGGCAGGTAAAACACGCAAGCTTTTCTAAGTCACAAAACATTGATGAAGTTTATTCCTGCCGGGTTAGACTGGCCAGTACTTGTGCGACTGCTTGCGAGCTATACTGCTAAAAACGGATTTGTGTTTCCAA